GAATACCTGCACAACTCTTTGCAACATATATGTAGGTTATGCCACACGAGACTAGTAAAGTCTGGTGTCCATGGTACTTGAAAATGGCAAAGGGCTCTCTTTACATAATATTCAACTTTAAAAATACATTTGTTCATTTCTATAGTGCACAGTAACTTAAAACAAGAGGGGCTTATGTCATTCTTGTCTAAAATTTGTTGTTACTTGTGAGAATATACACAATAAAACTTACACCAACTCTACACTATTTATTGAGTATCGATGACATTCTTGAGCTGTGCAACTATGCATGCCTTCCTTGTCTGAGTTGTTCCTTTCCCATTAACATATTTTTAGAAGTTTTTTTAGGTGATCTGCACTGCAATCCCAGAGGTGCGCCGTTCAAATCCACCAGATGCTCTGTTGGAGAAGGAGGGGCAATCTCCTCCTGTACCTGTCAGATCTGATTTGATGGTACACACACATAATGGTAATTTTTAAAATTTTAATTTATATTTTAACAAAAGTTTATAGAGAATTTGAATTTCCATTCATTTTTCTCCCTACCCACCCCCCTCCCAGTTCACTTTTCTCTTTGAAAAAAAATTGTCGCACAATTTCATCCCAGTCCACTCTGCTATGCACCTCAAATTCTGGACTGTTGTCATGTAAACAATACCTAATCATATATTCCTTTTGAACAGTTCTTTTCCTCATCTGTTTCAATGCAGTGTGCATTATTTATCCCTCTTTTGTTAGTTTTCCCCAAACGCCCATGTCAGTCCTGTTTTCTAACAGTGGCATAACACAGTATTTGTCCTTTTGTGTCTGAGATATTTCACTCAGCATAATGTCCTCCAGGGTCACCCATTCTGAATAATATTTCATGAGTTCCCTGTTTTTTTCAGTGCTGCATAGTATTCCATTGTGTGAATATATCACAGATTCTCTATCCATTCATTTGTTGATAGTGACTTGGGTTGTTTCCAACTCTTTGCTATTGTGAACAAAGAAGCAATAAACATGGGTGTGCATATATCTGCTTGGGTGGCAGTTATGGTTTCTTTAGGGTATATTCCCGTAGTGGATTTGTTGGATCAAATGGTATTTCTCTTTCCAACTTTCTGAGAAAGCGCCATACAGCCTTCTGTAGTGGTTGCACCATTTTACACTTCCACCAACAGTGAATAAGAGTCTCAGTTTCTCTACAACCTTGCCAGTATTTGTTTGCTACTCTGTTGAATTTTGCTATTCCTACTGAGGTGTGATGATATCTAATAGTTGATTTGATTTGCATCTCTCTCAAAGCAAGGGATTTTGAACATTTCACGTGTGTGTTCGCCATCTGAATGTCTTCTTTGGTGAAGTGTCTGTTCATATCCTGTGCCCATTTTGCAACTGGGTCGTTTACCTTTGGCTTGTTGAGTATTCTACAAATTCTAGATAGAAGTCCCTTATTAGACATGTCATTACCAAATATTTTTTCCCAGTCTGTGGATTTTCTTTTTCTCCTGTTGGAGAAGTTTTTTGATGTGCATAGGGATTTGATTCTTAGAAAGTCCCATTCATCTATTCTCTCCTGGTTGTAGGCTGTTCAGGATGCTTGGAAGACTGTTCATATTGTGGACTGGGGCTCCTAGGGCTCTTCCAAGCTTTTCTTTGATGTAGTTTATAGTCCTTGGTTTTAGTCCTAGGTCCTTGATCCACTTAGAGTTAGTTTTTGTGTATGGTGTGAGGTGTGGGTCTTGCTTGAGTTTTCTGCAGATAGTTTTCCAATTTTGTCAACAGCATTTGTTAGACTCTTATCATTTCCCACTTAACTGAGTTCATCTTCTTGTCAAAAAACAGTTGACCATAGGTAGATGCGATGATTAACATATTTATTACTTAAGGTTTAATGATTGTCTCAGGCAACAGTTTCAAGTTTTCATTCAACCTACATGGCTCCAGAAGTGTAGAGTCCCTGCAAAGTTTTCATTTTGTGCAACTTCCCCCTTTTGATCAGGATTCTTTGGAATCTTTGATCCAAATGTGCAGCAGTAGTAGCCAGGCTCCACCTAGCTTTTCTAGTGTCAGCAGCAGAGGTGGCCTATCCTCTTCCTTCTCTTGGCTCTTCCCCCTCTGTTGCTCCAGGCCAGTAGAGAGCACTTATTGTCAGCTGTACACAAGCAGCCTCTGCAGGTGCCCTTCCACTTCTTTTGTTTGGTCATTGTTGTTAAATACATCTATCACACAACTTTTACCAATTTAACTTTTTACAAGTATACAACTTACTAACAGCAATTACAATAGTCAGCCATGCAACTCTACCCTTAACCAATGTATGATATTAGTTTTTATAACTCTCAAAAAAACTTTTATTAAAGCAAAAATTCAAATTGTAAAAACAAAACACATTTTTAAAAAAATCAGTGTGTTGGTAAGTATGGTGATGACAAACTGACCTTGAATCAGCCTTTCTGAGGAGAGTCTGCACTCTGGTCAAGATTCCTGCTGCCATGTGAAGTGGCTGACCCCCGATCCCACTAGGTCACTCATTGTTACTAGTACTTCAGGCTTCCCAAAGTTTCCGGTTTGTGGCCTTCAGGTCTTACACCCTTGAGACCTTTATTCCCTCATCTGCACTGCAAAACTCCCGACTTGGAGGGATTTCCCAAGGAAATAAAACAAGACTCAGAGATAGAAAATAATATGCAACTAATTACAGCATTACTCTCCTAGGTTGATTTCCAAATCTTTAAGGAAGATGTACCCTACATAACCTAAGACATACCCTGTGTCTTGGGGTCAGAATGATATCTGGGATTGCTTTTATGGAAAAAAAAACCACACCAAAAAAACCCCAAACTAAAACCCAACACATTAGGTCCTTCATCAGAAAAAAAACCCTTCTATTACACATAGTCTCTGTCAGAAAATAAAGTTTGCCTGGCATCTTTGGCGCAGGAACATAAGCTGTTGTAAATTACCTGTACTTTGTTTGCCTGAGTTTGTACTTTTTGCTTTGCCATCCACTAGCAGTTCATACAAATAGGATATGATTATATCACACCCTAAACAAAGGTGAAGTCAACCTAAAAAAAAATAAGGTCTATATCTTGTCATTATCCTTCCCTTGTTTAGTGGTATGTGCTGTCGAGTCACCTGTGACTCATAGCGACCCTATCTGAAACAGCCCTAAACCCAGCTCTATCCCTTGTCCATCTTATTGTCTCTGACACACCTACTCCCACTACCAGTCACTGAATCAATCCATCTCATCAAATCTCTCCACCCTCCCAAACATGACGTCCCTCTCCAAGGACTGATTCCGCCTTGCAACATATCTAAAGTATACCCTTTGATTTAGGTAGCCTTTATTCAAAGCTCTTCTGGTTTTAGTTAATTACTTACTCATAAATAGGTCACACTACTTAGGTATATTTGCTTTATGTAGTAAATATATTTCAGAAGATGTTATGGTATTTTGTTGTTAATTGAATGGCATGTCAGCTTACATAATTTCAGTTATATTTTCTTTTCTGTTGTGTTGTTATGTGCTGTCGAGTTGCCTGCGACTCATAATGACCCTATGTACAACAGCCCTAAAACCTGCTCTATCCTGTGCTAATCTTATTGTCTCCAACACACACCTACTCCCATTACCACAGTCACTGAATCAATCCACCTTATAGAGAGTCTTTATCTTCATTTCAGTAGGATCCTGATTTTGGGGCATACAGGTTTTCTATACTGTTATCACCTGCTAGGGAGTCTATGCGTATGTACCACTGGCAGTCTAGAACCCTGAGTTCTTGCCCGAGACTCTAACCTGACTCTGCAGGTTAGCTGGGCCTGCCCATGTTTGTATGTGAATTTGATTGTGGGATGGAGAGCCCTCTGAGTACTTTGTCCAAGTTCACGAAGGACTCTGAATTCCCTCTTTGCACTTACCAAGTTCTCCATTCTTTGCTTGAAGAGGAAAATGGATGCAGAAGAGGAGACATTAAATAAAACTCTGCCTAGTTGAGGCCATCATTCTAGGGCCCATGACAACAGGGAGACATCACATGGTGGTATCACTATAGAACAGGAATATTCACATTCTCAACCACAGTAAACTCTAAAGCACAAGTGGAAGGCTGTGGGAAACTTAGGAAACTCACACTTCTGAGCATTTCTCATTATCACACAAAAGCTGGGTTTCATAATGGGATGGTCAGGAATGGTTTTTGTCCTGCCCCAAGGTGGTATAAAATTTTCTGCCTAGATTAGCCAGCTAGTAGGGGGACATATTTCATTGGCGACAGAGAGATATGTGAGAAAGCATACCACTACTCGTAATACTAGTAATACTGGTATTACAATACTGCAAGTATTGGCTACAGGGAGCTACAGCAGCACAAAGTTCATAGAGCCACCAGGGTCAGCCTGAGACTCACTGCCCCATCACCTTGAAGTGTCTTTCTTCATCTGCTGGAGTCTTTGGAATCAGGAAGCTGTGATCACCGCCAGGCTTAGGATAAAATGGCCTCAGGGGCCTCTTTAGCGAGGATAAGTCAGGATTCCAATCTACACACAGGCAAAGAGTCAGAATGCCAGCTGGTGGAGTAAAAATGTCATTCTCTTGGTAGCAATACTGGCTCAAATATATTCTCCAAATACTCCATTCAGAAGTTTTTAACCACACTCTAGTAAAAATGTTCTCCAAAGGTCCATTTAGACAGTTACTACCCTGCCTGAATGCACAGAGCTTGCAATATGTATCCTACTGTGGAGGATGACATCTCACTGTGGCTGGAGAGAAGGGACTGCTGTAGCAGGGAAAGCCAAAGGGCTGGGCACTCACAGATTGTTCTCTGGGGGGTCAGTGCCCCTTTCTCTTCTTCAGTAAAGCATATAAGCTCAAGTTTCTTCTCAAGATCATGGAAAACATTCATTGTTTTACGGTTTTAACCTTTGTTGATCAACAATGTGGGTCTAGTGCAAAATTCATCCTCAGCCCCAACTCCTTGGACTCAGACACATGCCGGAGGCCACCCTCACACTTTGGATTGCCTCTCATCAGTCCACTCCTGCTTAGTGCTCTGCAGAGCCTGTGTCTTCTGCTCATCCACTTGGACATAGTCTACTCTTTGTTCTTCTGAAAGAAAAGGTTTCTGCAAAGATAGAACAAAAGAGTTTTCATTACATCTAGTGGAAGTCTCAGGAAAAGGTGTGCATGCTATGGATTACACACCATGGCTAAATATTTGCCGTGCCTGCATACTGTGACCTTCCACAGCAAGAACTGCACTTTGTGTGTATGGATATCAATATGTCACACACTCTGCCCTTTGACTTTGCTGATGCAATTTCACTTGCTTTAACCAACATAATGAGTGGACGAGACCTGTACCACTCCAAAGGAGAGGAGAGAGGCATCACAGTACCTCCTCTTCCTCTGCTTCAAGACAAGCTTGCCTCAGATGAGCATGTCTTCCCTGGATGGAAGACAACTTGGAGCAGAGCTTCCCAGCCTCAAGTGGCCAGTGGTTGGTAGATGCCTTCAAGTGAATTCCTGCACACAGCAACCCTCCATACAACAGACTGAACCCCTGCCTGGCCCTCGCAAGGTCGGCTGTGCTTAACCACGTTACTGCAATCCTTGTGTCAATTCTGCTCACTGACGGCCTTCTTTTCTGCTGCTCCTCCACTTTTCAAAGCATCATGTTCTATTTTCAAGGACTGGCTTCTCCTACCAACATGCCCACAGTAAATGAATCCTCACCATTCGTGGCTCTAAAGAACACTCTGGTTGCGTATTTGTTCGTTCTTTTCACTCATCACTCACTCACTGCCATCAAGTTGCCTCTAATTTAAAGCAACCTACCATGAAGCTGAGCTTGCTAATTTTAACAAGGAGAGACTGATTATATTTCTCCCTCAAGCAGCTAGATAGTTGAGCCACTGGAGACCAGCATTTTGGTTAGGAGTGCAATACATGGTGATTTAAAAGCGTCTTTTTTAAAATTTCTTTTTTTCAGTCTTCCTTATTCATTGTCTAACTTTCTTTTTTTTCATTTTTTATTATTAATTTTAATGAAAGTTTACAGAGACTTTGGATTTCCATTCATTCATTGTTGCACTTTTCTCCCTGCCCAGCTGCCTACCCCCCCACAGTATGCTCTTCTCTTTGAAAAGTAAAAGAAAAATTGTTTCATTGTCTAATTTTCACATGAGATTGAAGCAATTGAAAACACCACAGCTTTAGTCAGACACACTTCAGTCTTCATAGTGACATCCTTTCTCCTTAGCACTTTAAAGAGGTCTTTAGCAGATTTGCTCAATGTATCATGTTAGAATCTTTGACTGTTGCTCCCATGGATATCGATGGTGATCTAAAGCCAATGAAATCCTTGACAGCTCCATTTATCTTTTCTCCATTTATCATCATGTTTTCTATGAGGTGTAATGACATTGAGGTGTGACTAATATTGAAGGCTGTCATTCTTTATCATCTGCAGCAAGCACTTCAAGTCCACCTTACTTTTGGCAAGCAAGGTTCTGTCATCTGTATAACAAAGGTTGTTGATGAGTTTTCCTCCAATCTTGAGGCCAAATTCTTTTTCATATAGTCCAGTTTCTCAAATTAATTGCTCAGCATACAGACTGAATATGTATGGAGAAAGGATACTACCTTGACACACAACTTTTCTCATTTTAAACCATACATTGCTCCCTGACTCTGTCTGGACAACAGCTTAGCCTAGGTATGATTTTGTATAAGTAAGTATAATAATTAAGTATTCTGAAATTCCCATTTTTTTCAATGTCTTTGGTGATCCATACAGTCAAATGCATTTGCATAGTCAATAAGACACAAATAGACACTTCTCCAATACTCTCTTTTAGCCAAGAGCTATCTGACATCAGCAATGATATTCCTCATGCATTGCCTCTTCTAATACTAGCTTGAATATCTAGCAGTTTTCTAATGTAGTACTCAAGCTGCCTTTTAATAATCTTCAGCAAGATTTACTTGTATATGAGGCTGTGATGCTGGTAGTTATGGCAATGGCGTGTCAAACACCAGCAATCTATCCAAGGTGGACAGGCTTCAGTGGAGCTTCCAGGAAGAAGAGCTGGCAGTCCACTTTGGAAATACTGGGGTCTTGAAAACCCCATGAATAGGACTGGACAGTATATGAGCCAAACCTGGAAAAACTTTTGTTACTGTAAGTCATTAACTGGGAGTTTGTTTGCAAATCTGACTCATTCAATGCTTCTTTCTGAGTAGGCTTTCTTGAATGTCTACTTAGGATTCTGTGATGACATTAAAACTGAAGAAGAAGTACTTTAGTCATCAAGAAATGGGGTACAATAAAAAAAAGAAATGGGGTACGTATTCTAGACACTTTTTTAGTGTCTGTATGTTTCTGAATGGAATCATATTATAAGTTATATCCCATAAATTGCTTTTGTTGTCAAGTGATAATGCATCACACATAATCTGCCGCCCACTACTTACCATCCACTGATATGTAGCAAGTGATCCTAGATGATGACTGTAATAACTTACATGTATTATTTAATCCTTACTCGCATGTGGTGACGAATGAAGAAGTTCAAGCTGCTCTGAAATAATTGGCAAAAAACAAGGCTCCAGGAGTTGACGGCATACCAACTGACATATTTCAACAAACACCCCAAATGTGCTCAACAAGTTGTGCCAAGAAATCTGGAGAACAGCCAGCTGGCCAACTGACTGGAAGAGATCGATATTGTTCCCATTCCAAAGAAAGGTAATCCAACAGAGTGTGGAAATTATTGAACAATATCATTAATATCACATGCAAGCAAGACTCTGCTTAAGATTATACAAAAATGACTGGAACATCACATCAACAGAGAACTACCAGACATGCAGGCTGGGTTTAGAAGAGGCCACGGTACTAAGGATATTATGGCTAATGTAAGATGGATCTTGGCAGAAAGCAGAGACTACCAGAAGAATGTCTGTGCTTCATTGACCATGCAAAGGCTTTTGACTGTGTGGATCACAGCAAACTGTGGCTGACTCTGAGAAGAATGGGAATCCCAGAACACTTGATCGTGCTAATGCAAAACCTATACATGGACCAAGAGGCAGTCGTCAGAACAGAGTAGGGAGACACTGGATGGTTCAAAATCAAGAAAGGCGTCCGTCAGGGACGTATTTTGTCTCCATACCTTTTCAATCTGTATGCAGAACAGATCCTCCGAGACGCTGGGCTGCATGAGGAGGAATGTGGCATCGGGATTGATGGAAGAATCGTCAAGAACCTGCATTATGCAGATGACACAACCCTGCTTGCTGAAACTGAGGAGGACCTCATGCACTTGCTGCAGAGGGTCAAGGAGTGCAGCCTTCAGTATGGACTGAGGCTCAATGTCAAGAAGACAAAGATTCTCACCACTGGACAAATTTGCTGCATCAGGATGGATGGCAAAGAGATTGAGACTGTTCACAGCTTCAGTTTGCTTGGCTCCACGGTCAACACTCTTGGCACCAGCAGCCAGGAAATAAAAAAACGTATTGCGATGGGAAAGTCTGCTGTTAGGGACCTCTCTAAAGTACTCAAGAGCAACGGTGTCTCTCTGGAGACTAAGGTGCGTCTGATACAGGCCATGGTCTTTGCAATCACTTGTTATGCATCAGAGAACTGGACAGTGAATAAGGATGACAGAAGAAGAATTGATGCCTTTGAGTTGTGGTGCTGGAGAAGAGTACTGAATACCCCATGGATTGTTAAGAGAACAAACAGATCTGTCTTGGAGAGGGTGAAATGAGGCTGCTCCTTGGATGCAAGGATTTTGAGGCTCTGTCTTACATTCTTTGGGCATGTTGCCAGAAGGGATCAGTCCTTGGTGAAGGACATCATGCTTGGAAAGGTGGAGTGATGGCACAGGAGAGGAAGACCCCTGATGAGATGGATTGACCCAGTAACTGGGGTAATGGAGGTAGGCGTGTCAGAGTCAGTGAAACTGGCTCAGGACAGGGCAGGGCTCAGAGCTATTGTCCACAGGGTCACTATGAGTTGCTGCTGACTCAATAACACATAACAACAACAACAATTGCCCTTCGAATTAGATGTTATTTCTTATTCCCACTTTATAGATGAGAACAGTGCCCAAAGGAGTTAGAACTGTCCAATCTGGCATACAAGATCCTTCACTAACTTGCCAGTCTCAATTAAGGAATTCTTTCATCATTCCCTGATTTATTACCAAACTGGTCAATGAACTGTTTCCTAAGAAAGTCCTTCCTCTACTTTTAGTGCCCTTCTTTCTCCGAGTAAGAAAATTTTCTAACTCTAAATTTTGAAGGACAGGAATTTAACATATTCATGGGTATACACAAAACATGTCCTAGAACAAAAAACACCAGGATATCCACCTCTCTAAACCACAAGATTTGGATTATTTTAATATTCTTTTTGATACATGTCTGCATTTAAAAATTTTTCTCACAAGAACATGCATGACTGACTTAAGAAATTAGAAAAATATAAACAAATATAATCACTAGGGAATTCTCAGACACACACACACACACACACACACACACACACACACACACACACACCCACCCCACCCCATACCTTCTGTACAGGTGCTGGTGATGCAGAATTAAAGTCCAGAGCTAAGTAATCCAGGCTGAATTGCTGTGTCCACGTAAACGCACCAATGCTCATGGAGTTGGCTTGTCTGTGTTCCTGCTGGGAATCAATAGCACAGTACTGAAGTCTGTGGTTTCTGACCTGACATCACAGCACAACTGAGTGGTCAGTGACAGTTTAGGAGGCAAGACTGTATAGCTGATCAAGAACCGTAACTGATTCTACAACATAGCTAATTCAACCACCTTTGTGGAATTATCCTATTACTCACTATGGGAACAGTTTGCCAATTAATTGTCCTGCTGAGATTAACTCAAACTCATTGCTGTCAAGGCAGCACTGACTCATAGCAGAGCTTTCTGTAAGTTCTCTGAAGGTGTAAATGGAATGGGAGGAGACTGCCCACCTTTCTCCCGTGGAGCAGCTGGTAGATTCATGCCGCGTGAGACGTGGCGTCTTCGGAGTACCAGTGCAACCCCCTGCCCACGAGGCGCCGAAGAGCCCCCTTCTGCGGAGGTGGTGATTGATCTGTACTGTTGAGTCAAAACAACTCCCAGCTGACTCTCCAGCAAGTCTGCAGAGCAGTTAGTTACGTGGGAGGAGACTGCCCTTCCGTCTCCCGCATAGCAGTTGATAGGTTTGAATTGTATGCCTTTTGATTGGCACTGTGACTCTTTACCACTAAGCCACCAGGTTAGATCTTTAAAATAGCAACTTCACTTGCTGACATTCTAACAAAGCTTTCACACATGTATTTAAGGCTTTCTCTCACATCCAAAAAGCTCTGACAGTGGTGTCTGGAGGGAGTTCTGCTGCTAAGCCATCCCTCTCCTCCTGCTGAAGGAAGGGTGGTCTGAGTCAGTTCTACCCAAAAGCAATGAGTTCGAATCCCAGTCACATACGTAAACAATTTGAACACAGTGCAACAGGTGCCCATGACTCATCAGCTGGCTGGAAAACTGGAACGCAGCCAACACCATTTAGGTCTCGTTTTCTCCTCACCTAGGTCCTTTGGAAAACGGTTTTGTATTATTTAGTAAAACTGATACATATAAGACCATTATTGTAAAAATAGAAGGATAACTAGTAAAATGTATAGGAACTCAAGGGGGGGAGGCTGAGCATGGGTAGGGGTGAAACCACAGGGTTGTCCAGTTTGGTGGGTGGAGGGAGGGGGCAAGGAAAGGGGAAGAATCCGGGTGAAAAGACAGGGCAATGATGGGCAAGGTCCAATGGTGATTGATTTTATAAAACATAATGTATGAGAATGATTGTATGAAACATGGTGTGAATGGAGAATAGTGTGAAACAAAATGTATACAAACTTTGTATGCAAGTCAATAAAAAAAAATACAACCAACAAAAAAAATCCTGAACCCCCCCCCAGTCTGCCCCTGGCCTAGTTTTGACTGCTGATACTGTGCTCCTCCAACGATTCCTTCCACAGATGTAGTCAATCTTATTCCTATCAGCCCACCAGGTAAGATCCATGTGTAAAGTCACCGTTTGTGTTTTTTATACAAGGTATTTGCAATGAACAAATCACTTTAAATAGAAAATTCAACCCGTCTATTTCCAGCCTCATTTCTATCACCAAACCCATATTTTCCAACTACTGTTCCTTCTTCACGTCTCAGCGTGGTTGGACCAATACACACATATAAGAGCTCCTATTGTTCTATATTCTGGTCAACACTTGGTACTATCTGACTCACATCTAATGTTTTGACTTTTGTAAAATATTACTTTATTGATGTTGTTGTTGTTTTTGTTGTTGTTAAGTGCCATCGAGTCACAGACAACTCATAGCAACCCTATGAATGAAAGACCTGAACACCTGTGTAACTCTCATCATTTCTCCATGTTCACAGGGTTTCCAGAGGCAAGCTATTTCAGAAGTGGATGCCACTCCTGCTTCCAAGCTTGTTTTAATAGGGAAGCTCTAGCAAACACTGTTCGCTATGCATAACCATTATCACATTTGACACATGAGGGTCACAGTGTTCAGCTTCACAGCAACCATGAGTGACCTCTGTACAGCAATGCACAGACCAGCGCTATACCACCTAGAAGGATGTTTGACGAAAAACAATTAAAACCAGGCCTGAGTGCTACAGATTAAAATCACCCACCTTGGGCTTGGTGGCATCAATTTCTGTCCACTAGACAGGGAAAAAATATTATAGTTTTATTTTCCATTCCATTGATTAATTAGGCCAGGCATTTTTGTATGCTTAAAAGTTACTTATTCATTGTGAAGCAACTGTTCCATTTTTGGTCCATTTTTATTATTTTCTTTTTCTTATTTATACTCCATAGTTCATATATTCTGGAGACTAATCATTTGTTATACATGTGCACTGCAAATAACCCATCTCAATTTTAAATTGTAAACGGAAGCCCTGGCAGCACAAAGAGCTAACTAAAAAGCTAGCAGTTCAAACACACCCAGCTTCTCTGTTTCTGTAAAAATTATAGCTCTACTCTCTCACACACAGTCACTATGTGTCAGAAATTACTAGACTGTACTCAAAACAAGTAGTTGGATCCACAATCAATACACTTGGTACCAGCAGTCAGGAGATGAGGAGACATTTTACACTGGACAAGTCAGGGATCTCTTCAAATTACTGTGAGCAATGGTGTTAGTTTAAGGACTAAGGTGTGTCTGATTCAGAGTATGGTCTTTTCAAGCACCTGCTGTGCATCTGAGAGCTGAACAATGACTCGGGATGACAGAAGAAGAATTTGTGCATTTGAGTTGTGGTGCTGAAGGAGATTACTGAATAACCCATGGACTGCGAAAAGAATAAACAGATATGTCTTTAAGTGTGTAGGCCAGAGATGCATCCTGTCTCCACACCTTTTCAAACTACATGCAGAACAGATCATCCAGTAGGCTAAGCTCTATGAGGAGGAATGTGTTATCAGGACTGGAGGAAGATTCATCAACAACCTGTGTTATGCAGATGATACAATCTTGCTTGCCAAAATGGAAGAGGCCCTGAGCCATCTGCTGTAGCCTTAAATATGGACTGAAGCTCAATATAAAAAAAACCAAAACAAAACCACACAAAAATTTTCACCACTGGGCCAATTTGCAGCATCAAGATACAGAGTGAAGAGACTGAAATTGTTAACAGCTTCAGTTTGCTTGCCTCCATAATCAGCACTCTTGGTACCAGCAGCCAAGACTAATTACCTTGGGAAAGTCTGCTGTTAGGGACCTCTCCAGAGTACTGAGGAGCAATTATGGCAGTCTGGAGATTATGGTGTGCCTGATCCAGGCCATAGTCTTTTGTGATTAATTTCTATGCATCAGAAAGCTGGACAATGACTAGGGATGATAGAAGGAGAATTGATGCCTTTGAGCTGTGGTGCTGGAGAAGAGTACTGAATATACCATGGACTGCTAGGAGAACAGACAGATTCATCCTGGAGAGGGTGAAATCAGGCTACTCCTTGGAGGCAAGGATTCTGAAGCTTCGCCTGACATACTTTGGACATGTTGCCAGAAGGGACCAGTCCTTGGAGAGGGGCGTCATGTTTGGGAGGGTGGAGGGACAGCGCAGGAGGGGAAGACCCTGGATGAGATGGATTGGCTCAGTGACTGGGGTAATGGGGATAGGTGTGTCAGAGACAATAAAGTTGGCTCAAGACAGCAGAGTTCTGAGCTGTTGTACGTAGGGTCACAATGAGTCGCAAGCAACTTGACAGTACATAACAACAACAAGTATTAATTATACTGTTCTATAATTTTCACATTCTGTTTGATCATCTTTCTTAAGAATGAGAACAAATATGGATCTCCTCCAGTCAGTTGGCTAGAGAGCTGTCTTCCAAATTCCCTGGCACTGACTGTCAGGCACTTTCCAGGGCTAGTTTTTTATTTGAAACAGGATATGTCTGTTAGTTGAATGTCAATTGGCATTCCATGTTCCTAGGGCCTTATTTTTTGCCAATGCCTTCAGTGCAAGTTAATGCCTCCCCAAATTACTGAAGAGTTATGATATCAGTTTGAAGACTGAGATCTTCCATGCTCTTTTCAGTCACTTATTATGCATCTGAAAGCTGGATAATGAATAAAGATGACAGAAGGAAAAACTGATGCCTTTGAGTTGTGGTATTTGAGAACAGTATTGACTATCCCATGGAATTCCAAAAGAACAAGCAGATATGTCTTGGGGAAAATGCAGACAGGATGCTCCTTGGAGGAAAGGAAGAGAAAGCTTCCTCTCACATACTTTGGACACATTGATAGGAGAGGTTATTCTTGGGAGAAGAAATCATGCTTGGACAGGTAGAGGGTCAGCAAAAGAGAGTAAGACCCTCAATGAGATGGACTGCAGAGACTTCAACAATGGGCTCAAGAATGTCAGAGACCATGAGGATGACACAGAATATGACAGGGAATGCTGAGTCATACCTGACTTGACAGTACTTAACAACTTTATCATATGCTAGTTCCTGAATATTTCAGTGTTAACCAATTATTTTTGGTATAATGACTCTAGTTATTCCCTCCATCTTCTTTCGATGTCTCCTGCATTGCTCAAATTTTTGTCCATAGTCTTTTTGTCTCAGTATTGCAACTCAAGGCTTGAATTTGTTCTTCAGTTCTTTTAGCTTGAGAAATGTCAAGTGAATTCTTCCTTTTAACTGTCCAACTCCAGCTCTTTGCACATTCTAGTATAATACTTGCTTTGCTTCTCATATTGCCCTTTGAAAACTTCTGTTCCTTTTACTTCAGCATCTCTTCCCTTTGTTTCAACTTCTTGATGCTCTAGTTTATCATTTGTTCTTATTAGTACAGCACTTGTCGGTCAGTTTGCTGTACCAGTAATTGTGGTTTGCTCTGATGCTAGAAGCTATGCCACAGGTGTTTCACATGCCAGCAGGGTCACCCACAGTAGACAGGTTCCAGCAGAGCTCTCAGATTAGGACAGACTAGAAAGCAGGACTGGCCATCCACTTCTGAAATTACAGGCCTTCAAAATCCCTATGAACAATAGAGGAACAGGTAGCTATAGAATTAGAGGTAGAACCCAGATGGGAAGTCACTAAAAAATGAAGAGAAACAGCCGCACACATTCATTAAT